GCTGCGGGCCAAATTTGGCCCGCGGGCCAGAGTTTGACATCTATGCTCTAAAAGATCTAAATATGGTGAAAAGGGTGGGGTGAGCTGGGGTAATTACTGTCATCATGTACAGACTCTCATGATAGAATTTCTCCTCCAGGGTGTTTCTTTCCCCTCCCTCCCTCTATCTCAAAGCCTCGGGCGATTGTGATGTGACAAATGATACTAGACGTCTCATCTGGGTGATCTTTTGTTGCAGCAGTATTGTTGGTCATCAACAATACTCTCCAACGGGTCTGTGTGCAGGTAACTAAAACACACACCTGCAACAGTTTCTCACAGATATGGCGGCTTTGTGCTGTGGCAGGAATTTGCATCTGTGGTAATGATCTATAGGAGCTAGATACGTCTCTACCCTGCAGCCGGCACGACATGATACGATGCAATGATGTGATATGAGGGAATGTGTTTTCATACCTGTGTTGTCAGAGGGTAGTGATGCATTTCAGAGAGCTGCGGGCGCTGTGCTTGCCCTGCAGAGGGAGGACGATCTGAGCTTGGAGGCAGTATTCTTCTCTGTGATTCAGGTCCTTCAGAGTCAGCTTGTGAGAACAGCACTTCATGTCAAACACCTCCTAAAGGAGAAAGAGATAAAGAGAGAGAGACAGTGAGTGTCCACCAGCCCTCAGCGGTAACGGGCGGCTGGAAGCAACAGGTGGTGCAGTTTGACAGAAAATTTCAAGAACTACAGGCGGAAAAAATACAAGTTGTTTTGTTCTTCTTTTTGTTGTTGTTCTTGTTTTTGTCAGTCATCTTTTGCTGCTCTTCCTCTTCTTCCTTCTCTATTTTGGAACTGTGCACCGATTCCACTGTAACCTTTCAATTGAGTGTCACAAACAGCGAGGAATGAATTGACAATGAATAATTTACTAATGTTTACAGTGGAGCCTAGAGAAAAAAAGATGTAATCCGGTGCTTATCATAGAGAAAATGCAGTGATTATTGATTATTATTTCATTCTTAAATGCTGAAACGTGTGCTAAAATTGGGGAAATGTAGAGATTTCAGCATGTTTAGCTGTTCTGACTTAAATTCCCAATTAAGTGTGATTCATTTATCACAAGTGCACAAATCAAACAGTTTTCCCATGGAACTACATTTAGGATGTAATGAGTCTAAAATAAACCCAGCCTAATCAGTGTGGAGATGGATACGCAGCAGGGTGTTTGGTGTGAGTGCGTACTTCTTCTCCACTGGGGTGTGTTAAGTAGATCTTGTAGTACAAATTGCTGTGCAGCTTCCGGACCAGCTCTCGGGGGGACTTCACTCGGACCACAATGGCTGGTTGTTCGGTTACATTCAGTCTCAGCACAGGGGGGCTGATTTTGGCTGCATGGGAAACAAATTTCTTTGAGCTTATCCGCAGAGCGATGAACACACAGTTGTGAGAGCGTGAAGCAACGCAGAGGAAAAGAGAGGAAGCAGCGGAGAGTATTCTGCTGTTTTTAACTTAAAGAGGGAAGTCTAAAGAATTCATGTGACTGTGATTGGATTACAAGACAATGCAACCTGAACTTTGGAGTTTTTTTATCTGACATTGGTTATATATATAGTTTGGAGAGAGCATTTTTTAACTTAACTTAGATCTTTGTTATGCTCTATTTAAATAGCTGAACCAACTCATGAGTGTCATTGCACCTGCCTTCAGGCTGTGCTTGCTGCCATACGTTCCTGCATCAGTTTGGGGAAGTGAGAACGAACGGAAAGAGGATGCAGACAATGATGCGAGAAGTTGTGTAAACACTCACTGTCCCAACGCGGGCTGAATCTGGGGGAGAGGGCCCAGGCTGATTTGATGCTGTTGGCCACAGACACAGCGCCAACTCTGGCGTAGTACCACTCTCTGGGCTCAGAGGTCACGTCGCTGAGGTCACAGTGGTGCTTCCGGATCTTTTGACAGCCTGGCACATCGATCCACTCGGGCTCGCCATAACTGAGGGAGAAGACATAAACACAGAGGATGGTTATTTCATCCTGTGCAACCTACCCAGCATCCTACTGAGGGTGCTGGAATAATATTAACACAGATACTCTGATACTCAGATTAGAAATATTCTACACTCCAATTGGATTCATGTTAAACATTCACATCTTTTCTAGAGTTCTGCTGCTGACATCTCACAGATTAAGAAAGCTGCAGGTTTCGTCACTCTCCAACCGAAATTTATTGAACCAACAGCAAGAAGATCAAAACTACATTTCACGTCGTCATGAATTCCCTCTTACTTTTGCAGTTTTGCTTCCACCACCATAAAATCACACTTCCTCCACAGCTCTCTCTCTCTTGGTGTACTTCGAGACCAGTTTCCGATCTCAAATCTCAGTTTTCTGCATTATTCGCTGGCTTATTCGCACCAATCTACCGTTGTTTGCAGCACTTTCCAGCACTGTCGGCCGCTGTTTTGTTTAGTCTTTTTCAAAAATGACCGCTGACAAGAAAGCCTCATTTATGCTGTTTAATACCGAAGAAATGTAAACTTTTACAAATTATGCCAAACTGCAAAGGCTTAGTTGTGTCTCTAATAAAACCTCCATAACTTTGCTCTGCTTCATTCAGCAGCATCAGGTAATGTTCATATATTGATTCATGATTTTCTTCTGTTTTTGATCTACTGCAGATTATTTTAAGGCGGTTATCTGCTATAAAAAGCCAGGACTTGAAAATCTCCTTCATGTTTTTCTTTGGTTTATCCTCCGTTACAAAGGAGTCTGCTGTGATGCTTACACCTCCGATGAAGTCTGACAAGTGTCAGCTTTGTTTTTATACCTAGATACTAAAAAATATGGATATGTACTGATAAATGATCAGAATTATGTTTCTGACTGTCTCAGTGAAAATCGTGACCTTGTGAATCGAAATTGAATCTGTTATAGAAATCAAAATTGATACCCAGCCCTACTCCAAAACTCAGCAAAAAAACCCCTGTATGTCAGGAGCTTCGTGGCACGAGTCAGTACTTTACTCCATGTAGTCTAACTCAGTAAGTTCCACCTTAACTGCAAAACACTTCATTTGCTGATACATCAGCAATAATGATACAATGATCAGATGTAATGCAGAAGAGGCAATGTTTCGCTGCTGAATGAATGCTTTTATTTTGATATTTTGAATATCATGCAGGACTGTTACTTGTAAAAGAGTCTTGCTTCCTTTTTTGTAGTTAAAACTGTGCTCCTGCATGTGTGTATGTGTGTGTCCTCTCACATCTTCCACTGGACGTTGTACTGCAGAGAAGAGTTCGTGGTGGGTGGAGTCCAGTTCAGGATGTTTTTATAGTCCACTGAGTGAAACCTCACCTGGCTGGGTCGAGGCAGCATCACTGGAAGTGTGAAAAAATAATGAAGAACAGTCTGGGTTTATGCAAAGATAATGTCCATACTAATGTGTATTATTCAGAAACATAGTACAGATAATGATCACATACACAGAATAGTAGTATAGTAAATACAGTGAAGGTAAATGACAACATATAATATCTGTTAATTTTACACTCTGAAAGGCACTGAAACCCAGAATTTAGTAAGAGTTTTCTAAGCTTTTCACATTACGCTGCATGGATTTTATAGAGGGCAACTTGCAAAGAAGAAGATGCTTTTAACATTTCTAAAAGATCAACAGCAGCTCCTGTCCAAACTTAACACACTGCAGTTAAATTATTAGTAAAAAAAACAAACAAACAAAAAAAAACCTGAACACACAAAACAATACAAATAATTCTCATGGCAAAAATCATCTCTTTTTCTCACACCTGACACAGCAGTGTCGGACCAACTTTGTTTTCATTCCCAACAATAACATTACACTTCATTCTTTATTTCAACAAGTCTAGACTTTGATAATCACTCAAAAAGTGTGTTTCAGTTGATTTACTAATGAATTTTAGACTAGGCAAAAGGTAATGAAAAAGTAGATTTCTAGCAGAAGATGCTGTAAGTTCTCATATTGGTTGGTTTGGTTTTCTGTGGCACCAGTAAATGTAAAGTTATACTTCTTGGTTTTATTATGGGAGCAGTGGGGTGAGGCAGATGTAAATCAGCCTAACTTTCGATAAAGAACAGCCCTAAACCACGTTTTACATGGAAATAAAAATACAGAGAAATAAATTCTAAGAAGTTACCTTGTGCTGTGACAGAGATGCCCAAGTTGCCCAGCAGCGCTGCTCCAAGCAGGAGAGATGTCATGGTGTTTATGTGGTTTGTGGACGACCAACGTGCAAATGTTCACAACAAGCCACACTGGACTGGACTGGTGCTGTTGGAAACACGCTTGCCTTTAACATGCCATCAACTTCCCCTAACGTTCCTTATATGGCATTTTGGACACAGATATAGTGTTACTTATTTGATGTTATAAGATGGTTTTTTTTCCTGTGTTTTTTACAAATCGTACAAAAGGATCCAAAACAAAAAAGTGTCAGATCACGTTACTTGTGTGCCACCCAAATGTGTGCTAAAGTATTGAATATCATGACTTTGCTGGGTCATTCCTGCCAAAGTCAATTTTAAAACACAAAAGACACAAAGCTCTTACAATAGCAGTAAACCTGAGGATACTTGAGCCCCCCCTCATTCTTTGTATTCTGCTAGGAAAATGGGTTTACTGAAAGTCCTTTTAAACTGCTTTTACTGCATTAGCAGTGTGTTTGGGATTTTTGTTGCGCTTAAAAATTAAGCTGTTGCCAATCTGATGCTTGCAATGTATTGTTGGTACCACAATCTGATGGCACCTTTCTGTGTTCATTATTCCATTTTTTAGCAGTGCAAGTTCTTTTTCAGCACTTATCCAGTTTCCTCAAATTTTTTAGGGACAAAAGTTTTCACCTTATAGCTCTTTACAAATCACTTTGTTGGCAGAAAATACCACTTTATGCCTGCCAAACTGTTATCTTTGGCATTTTTGTATAGTCACTAAAGAAATCAGATTGTTAATTAAGATGGTTAATTGGAAAATCCAAATTGCCATTAGGTGTGAATGTGCGAGTGAATGTGAGTGCGAATGGTTGTCTGTCCCTGTGTGTTGGCCCTGCGACAGACTGGCGACCTGTCTAGGGTGTCCCCCGCCTCTCCCCCTATGACAGCTGGGATAGGCTCCAGTGCCCCCCCGCGACCCTGAAAAGGATAAGCGGAAGCGAATGGATGGATGGAAATCAGATTGTATGCCTTTGCGATAGGCTGCCAATAACAAAGTGTAGAAGGTTCTGATTTAAAACTGGCTAGATGTAGGTTACCCAGATGTAGGTTACTCCTGCTAAGGCCTTTGTTGGTTCCCTGTCGTTCAGGAGGATTACCACACTGCCCCATTTCTGGTCTACCCAGTTATAAGCAATGCTAATGCTTGTGTAAGAGTTTACTGGAAATCTGTTACATAATGATTTCCTATGCATGACCTGCCCCTTTTCATCACACTTCATATTTCCATATTTCCACTCTGTTCATTATCAGGTATATTGCCACCAGTGAGTATTTATAGCAGCTATTATTAGGTAATGCAGAACATGAACCTATGCAAATTACTTTATTTGACATTATTGCAGCTAGACTTCATCTTTTCTTTTTCTTCATAATTTAGCACAGGGGCATACCCTTCAGCAGCCTTTCAGTATTTGAAAAATATTAATTTAATTTAATACAAAACAATATGTAAAAAGTTTGTTTATACTAATTAACTGGTATACCGATAACTGGTTACACTCTACTACATATTAAAGTAGTTGCAAAAAACGTAAGTGGAAATTAACATTTGAAATAGTTAAAAGTAATTGAAAAAAATGAAACATACTGTTTAACAACAAATTTAAAGCTGAAAGCTACAATTTGTGGATATGCAGATGAAAATTTGAAAAAAGTAACAAATACATATTAAGCAGCTACATGGTATGTGTAAATGTTAAGCTCATTTAATTTGTTAGCTATTAATATTGAATGTGGTAAAAGTGTCATGGACAATATGTTCCTGGAAGTAATAAATAAGCAACAAATTAACTAAGTATGTAAATAAATGGCAAAATTTAAACATAGCAGTAAAATGTGTAAGCTTATATCTATTGAATCAAATAGTGGTTCAATAAACAAAGTATATGCAACACATGAGATAGCATCTAAAAGTAAAAACAAATAACAAAATAAAATAAGAAGTTGAATAAAGTAAAGGATAAATTCTGGATACTAGTAATAGATCAAAGGAGAAAAGGTGAAATGCATTTGGTAAAATATTAAAGCAGGTAAAACAGACAAACATACGTGCTTCAAAAGCTAATATTAGATGTCAGCAAAGTAGCCTAATAAGTAGCAAATAGTAAAAGCTTAAATGCTGTGGGTGAATGGTTAAAGTAGCTGAGAGCAAGAAATATACAAATATAAATTACATCCATTGAATTTTGAAGTTAAAAGCAAATCGAACACACCAACTCTGAAATCGTGATCAAAAAACAAAACAAAACAAATCTCTTAAAGTATCTGAATTTATAAGTTTTAGTCATTCAGGCCTTTTTGTCTTTAACACATTCTTGCAGTCGAATTGGTGCGTCACTGGGCTTTATAGATATCTGCAGCTAGGTATCATTGCATATCAGTGAAGATGTATGCTATGGCTTCTAACAACACTGCCTAAAACATGTATAATGTAAATACAACTGGGCCTGGTACAAAACCCTGTGGAACTCCTTAATTAACCTTAGGGTGTTAAAAGCTCCATTTATTTGAACATGTCTAATGGAGTCTAATAGCTTTTTAAAGCTCTTAAGAATAAAGGCTATGAGTACTTGCTTCTAAAAGTAATGGTTAAATGGTGACACTATAAGGTAGCAACAAGGGCCTAAAAGTAATGTGTGAAAAGTGCAGCAGGCAAATGGTTAAATGGGTGAAATTAATAGAGAATAAAAAGGCAACAGTAGCATTTAAATAAATGGATAAATGGTAAAGAGAGTTAAAAGTTATGATTAAAAGATCTGGTTATAATTGGTGATAGTGGCATTTTGTTTTAAGAAGAAGGATGAATACAAACAGGCTGCAATTGACATAAAATACATTTTGGCTATATCAACTTTGTTAAAACTAAATTTCAAATGAAATTGATTTCAGCACATTAAACACATTTTTTAACTCAGATTTGGTTTTGCAGGAATTCATCTGATAAGCCTGTGAAGACAGATAATGAAATCTGTTACCGGCAGAATAAAAAGAAGGTGTCTATTTTCCCCACACAAAGCAAAGAGGAAGGAAACACAACAGACACACAAACACAAAGGAGGTCCCCCGCCTGTTACTGGTGTTACTGAACAGCTTGGGCAGCTTAAATGTCAAAATACCACAGGCATGAGCATTTCTTCCCTTACATGGTGACAAAACTGATAAAGTGATTTATACTGCTACTGTAGGCCCCACTACAATAAACAATCAACATAATGACACTGCAAATGTCAACTTCCCTTCCTTAATGGGTAATATCCACGTACAGTAACAGCATAAAATTGTTGCATGATGTTTGACATTAACGTCAGTTAATCTGTCACATAGATTAACTGCCTTTATAAGAACAGGACAGATGCAAATTCACAGTTCCACAATTTATTGAAATTGAGCAACGGAGACCAGACAAGTGCATTAAACGGCATTAGTAAATTGGACAAAATGACATACCCACATTGTATTACTTTTTATATATGAAGTATGTTATTACAAAGGATAATCAGATAAAAAGCACAGCATTACTGGGTATAGAGCATGTCGCTGCGTAATGAGTTCTAGGTTTGATTGTAGCTGGACCTTCACAGCATGCCATTTTCACTATTCTCCATTGTCTGTTTAAGAAAGGCACATTAAAAAAAATAATCTAGTGCAACGTTTGAATTATTTGGCAAGTTTTCCAAAAGTTAAAATAAACAAACAAAAAACAAAAACATCATATAAAAACAAACTGCAATCATACAGTCCCTTTAAACTGGTAATTAGACCCAACTTTTGTCATGTGAAATTTAAGGACAATAAAAATGTTGCACAAAAAAAGAAGACAAGAAAAAGCACATTCTTCCTGTTAAATTGAAAAACCAATGCAGAAAAATGTTATAAGTGCTTTTGTTTATTAGATCACCTAATGTAAGGTTTATTCCACAGCTGTTCTGGTAGTAACTAAAAAACTTAGTCTACCAGTGTGTGGATGAGTAAATCAGCGAATTACAGTAACTGACTTGCATTACTGTACAGATTAATTTGTTTCAGTATTTGATTGTTATGCCTGATTAATTTCCCACTTTTCAGAGATGCCCAATGTGCTGGCCCAAAGTTGGGTATAAAAACATGAGTTCAGTTTGTTATTTGCCTAATAAATAATAATATGATTTTTTGTTTTACACAAGTGTAACAAACTTATAAAAATGTGTGACTTCTAGTTTTTAATGACAGGTGGTCTAACAAATTTGTTAAGCACTATTAAATTTTTTTGTTGTGCAACAAAAAGCATTTTACATTTGAATTTTTGTGGTTTTTAAAGAAAAAAACAAATCATACATTTCCCATATATTCCCTTCAACCACATCTTCCATGAAGAGAAGCTAAAGCACACGCCTCATTTAATGTACAAATGTCATAATATACAAACTGATTTCTAACTAATATAACACAAGCATAAAAGGGAAAGAAATGAATCAGATAGAAAAAGAAAGTGCAAGTAATCATCAAGAGTCTCCAGAGCAAATCCAGTATTCTGACTACCTGGCTCAGTAACTGCCAAATATGCTTGTATATGAGATGCCCACAGATACATTGACTGTATTACAGAAATATTTAAAGTGTGTGTTATTGTATAGGAGCCACTGTTCATTTTTGGATGCGTCTGATTATTGGATGGATATTATTCTGTCACCCTGATGATCTATGATGTAAGGCAGGAATATAAACAGGATTTTAATTTCCTCTTTACGTCTTTTAAGCCCATAGTTCCCTGTAACATTTCAAGTGCTTCCACTACTGAGGCCTCGTCATGAGGAAAAAGATGAAATTAATCGTTTTACTTTACAATTCTTTTAAATGGGATTTAGCCTGTGCAGAAACATAATGCATTCAGCTTTTCTATTAACCCTGACTAAGACAAATAACCCTTACAGGTAAACTGGTAGATTTCCAGCATACGAAGCTCCTCAGTCTAATCGCACATATGGGCACTCATACTGATCAGGCTTTTACACGTGTCACCAAGTCTTTTCACATTTTCAAAATGTGAGATCCTGTGCAAAACATCTGGTACTGACTTATATGTAGCCTTACATTTACTCAGATGTGACTGGGCCTCTGTAGCCCTTAGCCAATTCATCTGGACCCAGCTCAACCACCACTCTATCACGACTCTCATAACCAGAACCAGGATTCTCATCAACTAAATCGGTGTTGCCTAGCATGTAACCAGGACCCTGCCCATTTGGTTGCCCCTCCTCTAGGACATTAGACATATCTCCATTGTCCGACACCCCGATGGGCAAGCGGAAGTCATAATCGGTAATTCCGGTCCTGTCCTCCTCTTCTGTATGTTGGAGTAAAGGTGAGGGTGAGGAAGGCTCCACTTCATCACACCTCTTTAAACACTCCACATGGTCAACAGTCACCGATTCGGGTGTACCCGTGGGCCAGATAAAGGGTTTAGGGACCTAGACACAAAGAACAACTACTCAGTATGTGCTGAAATTTAAATTCCCCTCCACCTTCAGTGGGGATACATTATTTTAACAACTACAAACTTTAAATAACTCCTGTGTAATGTAATTAGAGCTGGTAGATTGAGATTACCAAACGTTTGATGAAAGAAGAAGAAGTTGTTTCAGGCTTGGTAAGTTTTTGGTATGCCATGAACAGGATCACCCCGAATGTAGCCACAGCCAGTATAACACTCACGACGTAGACGGCGGTAAAATCTGGACAAGACAGAGAATTTTTTTTTTCTTTCTTTTAAACAGCAAAACAGCTGTACACAAATACACACACACACACACACACACACACACACA